AGCAGGGATGGAGGCCACAATCCCAGCATGCCCTGCACACACCGGTAGCCTCACAAGAAATCCTGGCCACAACAGGGTAACGGGACTCAGCTAACCTGCAAGGTAATCAAGACGATGAGTTAATCAGGATCCATGGGCCATGAATCAAAGCCCTGGGGATGTTTGGAGCAAACAGAAGACTTGGAGGATGATTCTCCAACATTTTGGTCTCAGAGATCCTTTACACTCCAAAAGCTCCTGGTGGTGGGCACACTATGCAATGCACAGATGATGAGTCATAGAATCGCACACGTGGAAACTAACAATCTCATTAACCAGTGTTATCCCAATAAATTTAATTTAAAAATCTATGAAATAAAAATAAAAATTACTGGACCCAAAGAGGTTTTGTTTATTTATCAGCGGATATTTGCCATATAAGAAATTTAAATGGAGAAAAATTTAAATATATACTTACCATAGTTTAAAATGATAATAAACCAGTTATATATTAATAGAGCATTATAAAACATAGAGGCCCAGTGCACAGAATTCAAACACTTGGGGGGAAAGGGGAGTCCCTCGGCCCAACCTGCACCCTCTCGCAGTCTGGGAGCCCTCGGGGGATGTCCCACTGACGGCTGACGTCTGCTCCACAGGGACCAGGCCTAAGCCATCGGCAGACATCCCTCTTGCAGTCTAAGACCCTTTGCCCCTACTACCCACCTGCTTGCTGCTCCTTAGCACTGCGGTGGAGGCAGGAGAGCCTCCCACCATCACTGCTGCGCTGCCAGCCATGAGCCCAGCTTCTGAGTGGTGCTCCCCCTGTGGGAGCGCACCGACCACCAAAGGGAAGCTCCTGTGTTGGGCTTCTGCCCCTGGTGGTCAGCGCATGTCATAGCGATTGGTCATTCCACTGCTCGGTCGATTTGCGTATTAGCCTTTTATTATATAGGATAATGTTGTTATGCGTATTTTCAAAAGCTAAAGAATTTAGTGAGAAGAGGGCCACTGATATGTGTTTTTGAAAATCTCTAATGAGTAGCTTGACACTGGCAGGTTAATTCTAACATCTGTTCTTTTGTTCAAACTGTTGTACTAAGCTTTCTTGGTTGAACTACATGAAGAAAATTCATCCTAAAGGAGACATGTAATTAGAAAAGGAAGCAGTATTTTCATAGCCTTAATATTGTCATACTCACATTAAAAGCATTGTCCTGCACTGTAAGAGAGAACAATGCATGGTTTTATAACATCATACACTGCTCATCTGGAAAGCACTGGATCAGAAGAGGTATGCCAATCTTCCCAAAATTAGTGCCTTCATTACCTAACTCCTCAGTCACAGTCCTGAGTATCGCCACCAGCAGCATCACAACAGTCTCTACTGGAGCGTTGTCAGGCTCACTCAGATGAGTAGCACAATCAAGTTCTAAAATTGGAAGCTTGAAGTTTATCATGGGTAATGCTTCCTTGCAGTAGCAGGTGTATTTTCCAGAAAATGTCTGCGTGTGCTGAAGACTGAAAAGCCACCTGTGTCACCTGTTGCTGTTTCAGTTAGAGGTGCTCCATGCAGAAAGGAGCCAGCTTCCACGTGCAACCGCCACTCACCTGCACAGCAGCTGTCCTCGGACCCGTGGATACTTGGGGACATGCAGCAGACATGCTTTATGCATAGCACTTTTTGTTTAGCCACTCAAAAAGTAAAAAGATGAATATGCAGGGTGGACATTTTTAAGTATTAATCATTCTTACTGCTTCCTCAAGAATGCTGAGTGAAACTGGCTTTAAAAAGCCTCTGTCTGATTAGGAACATAGCCTGACGTTGCAGACCTCCTACAAGGTCCCGGGCTCCTGCCCAGGCCACACTGCGTACCACTGTCCGGAGGAAAGCTTGCGTCTCCCTCATGCCGCCAGCCCTCACCTCCAGCAAATTCAGCTTTCACTGAGTTCAGTACTTACTGGAGTCCCACCCACATAAGGTTTCTCTTGAATAAAAGGTTGAAAAAATTTTAAATGAAAAATAGATTCAATAATGTAACTAGATAACATCTAAAGTTATCTTCTGGTTTTAAAATAAAATAAAACTAAAACTAACCCCCAATTAAGTTTAGTCTACAGGCTTAAGACCTAGTCCACATGCTTAACTGGCATCACCTGTATTAATTTTTTTAAAACTATATTTTATTGATTCTTTACAGAGAGGAAGGGAGAGAGATATAGAGTTAGAAACATCGATGAGAGAGAGTCATCGATCAGCTGCCTCCTGCACACCCCCCACTGGAGATGTGCCTGCAACCAAGGCACATGACTCTGACCGGAATCGAACCCGGGACCCTTCAGTCCGCAGGCCGACGCTCTATCCACTGAGCCAAACCGGTTTTGGCCACCTGTATTAATTTTTAAACTACATCACATAAGATATCCAATAGAAGTCACAAGAATGCCTAATTCCCTTACCATAAAAGATGCTAGCTTCTATCCAATTTCAGGTACACATATAACTAAATAAAGGCCTGGTGCATGAAATTTGTGAACTTGGGTGGTGGTGGGAGTCCCTCAGCCTGGCCTGCACTCTCTTGCAGTCCAGGAGTCCTTGATGGATATCTGACTGCTGGCGTAGGCCCGCTCCCCCGGGGCCTAAGCCGGCAGTCAGCTATCCTTAGTGCTGCTGCTGTGCTCGCCAGCCATGAGCCCAGGTGAGAGCCTCCGGCTGAGTGGCACTCCCCGGTGGGAGCGCACTGACCATCAGGCAGCAGCTCCTGCGTTGAGCGTGTGCCCCGTGGTGGTCAGTGCGCATCACAGCGACCAGTTGTTCGGCTGTTCGGGTCAATTTGCATATTAGCCTTTTATTATATAGGATGCCGAGTGGTTAAGAAAAATGGTATCCTAAGTTAATAAATTGGCTTATAGTATAGACATTAAAATGCGGTTTCCACATCATCTTTTACGTCACCCTTTGGAACATTTTCATCATAAATATTGATATGTACATATTTTTAGAATTCTTTTCCCCCCCCAAAATGCATATCTAATCAATTCCACTTGCCACTGTCAATTGTCATTATGCTACTAACTGAAGCTTCCATCTGGTAGCAGGTAGGAACAAGAAGAGCCAAAACCCTTATCAGCATTATGCTACCTATGTGGTTATTCAATCCCTTTATTTTAATATAAACATAAGTGAATGGCTATGGGTTTCAGCTATCCATATTAAATATTACCTCAATAACTACGAATAAATTACACGAGACCTCAATTGACTTTAGCTGGAATATCAAACCTACATTTTGACTAGCACACACTTCAAGAAAGACATAACAAAGCTGGAGAAAATCTACACAGGCAACAAAATTCATTAAAAGTATGCAACTGATTTGTTAGACAATTAAAAACAAAACACTCAAAGCAGTCCACCGCTCCTGGTGTGTTGTCTAGAGCAACAGAGTGGTGTCTGTTCTGACCTATGATCTTCAAACCAGAGAGAACAGACCTTAGAAGCATTAGTCGTAAACTGTGAAAATCTCACAGAGAGTAAAGCCCGAAATTCTGGAACAAGAAGCTGATCTCTTGGGGCTCAAAAGAGAGGCAGCAGAAACATTAAGGAGCATCCTCCTCCATGAATGGACACGTGGCACGGCGAGTCCTCCTCTCCCAGGCCGAGGAAGCAGCGCCAGGGGAGGGCCATGTGAGGACGGTGCGCGGTGCTGCGTGGAAAGCGGGGGCTGGTCCCGGCAGCTGGGCAGAGCGAGCTGGAACGAAATGCCTGAGCAGCACACAGAGCAGCAGGCCCAGGCAGGGAGCAGCGGAGCACCGGGGATGGAGACAGACCTGGAGAGGAAGGCCTCAGGCCACGTCAGGATTTAATGTTCACTCGTCTTAGGTCAGTAAGAAGCACCGTAAGATTTTTCAGAAGAGGATGACAAAAGCAGCATTTTATTTATTTATATATTTTTAAAGATATATTTTATTGATTCTTTACGGAGAGGAATGGAGATGGATAGAGAGTTAGAAACATTGATGAGAGAGAAACATCGATCAGCTGCCAAGGTACATGCCCTTGACCAGAATTGAACCTGGGACCTTTCAGTCCGCAGGCCAAAGCTCTATCCTCTGAGCCAAACCGGTTTTGGCCAAAAGCAGCATTTTAATAAACTAGTTTGGTTATCCTTTGGTTTTAAAGTTCAACTCAACCAGCCTTAAACATAAGATATTTAGGGATTGCCTCACTTTTTCCTTATCTATTTATTTCCCTATTTAGACTTTTAATGGTGCAAATAGAAACCAAAGTGTGACCTATTATTTAAATTATGCTCACAGGCTCAAAATTGAGCAATAAAAGAATATACAACGATTAGAAAGGGAGTAGTTAAGAAACACACCCATATATTTGGTAATGGTAAGCCAAATAAAAATGAAAATACGACTATACATTTTAACTGGAAATCTTACGACATTTACAAAATGTATGTTATATAATATAAGCATCAATAGCAAGCTGAATCTAAAATGCCACACATCTAAATATTTTATGTCATGGTTACCAAAATTCTACTGTTGTGAAAAATATTATTTATTTGTTGCTAGTTGTAATCTCTCATGTGTAATGTGAAATTAGATGCATACACACAAAAACTGACTCCAGAAAACTCAACATACTTAATTTTAAATAGTACTGGAACCTTACAACTTAATAAAATAGTATAACTGAGAAAATAAAAAATAATGCATGCATTATAAAAATAAAAAATGTTCTAATTGCTACTTATAACTCCAAAAAAATGGAAGCCTTTTGTAACTTTAATTTCTCACTATTTGTATGACTTAATATTTGTGTATAATGCTTAACATAAATTATCTTTATCTTTTTGTGACAGATATTTCTTAAAGTCAATTTACATAGAATCTAGACAGTCAAATTCATATCAGTTTCCACAAAACACCCCTCCCCCCCTTAAAATCTACTGTACAGAAATAGCCCTGAAGGCAGAATCCTAGCAGGGCGTATAAAAAATTCTTACCAATTTTTCATCAACTGTTATGAGCTGCGCGTCTCGAGTCTGGTCCTGTGCCAACCTCCATGTGGAAGTGCTCAATGACCTGCAGAGGAGATTTTAAATTAAAAATGATCCATGCGCTGGGACAAGGGAGGCAGACTAACGTTACAGAGGCAGGCTGCCTGAACAGCACTGTCTTACAAAAGAGGAAGAGAAAGAGAAGAGGTCACCAACATCCTTTTCCTCCCCATTAGTTGAGTCGACCTATGAACCAGGAGGTCACAGTCTAATTCCTGGGCAGGACATATGCCTGGGTTGGGGGCTTGATCCCCAGTGTGGGGCATCCGGAAGGCAGCCAATTAATGATTCTCTCTTATCATCGATGTTTTTCTCTCTCTCCTTCTCCTTTCCTCTCTGAAATAAACTAAAATATATTTTTAAAAAAGCATAGGTACTTTATAGGTATTTTTCATAATTTTAAATTAATGTCCAACTAATCATAAAACAAAGCTATTAAATCATTTTCTATAAACAGAAAACTATTATAAATAAAGACAGAGACAAAATATTATCATATTTTATCAGTCTATATTTACAAGGTAACGCAATAAATAAAAGATGAAAGATGTTAAATAAAGTAATACTAGCAGAAAGAATTAAATGTCACGATTAAAACCTTTTTTTAAGATAGGCTAGATTGCAAAGAGAGCACATATAAGGATTTTTATTATTGAAATAAATATATTCACATAATTTATTTCAGTAAAAAACTGCCTAAGTAAAAAAGCACATACAATATGTGCGTACATATATGAATTTATGTATGACAAGGGGGGGGGGTCATTTAGGTCACTAATCCTTAAATATGGAAACAGCAATTATTTTTAAAAAATCAAATCTCAGATTGTGGGAAAACATTTTCCTCCAATTGTAGATAGTTAAAGGTAGCAACAAGGATCCAGAGTTCATTATGAACACAGCACTGAGTTTGTCAGACCTCAAAATACAGCCTGAGGTTAAATTCAAATTAAATGGGAATTATATAGCAAATATCTACTTGCTGATTAGCCTGTAAAAAAGTCTCAACAATGAAATGGTAAAGGCAATATTTTTAATAATTTAGAATATAAAAACATTATTAAGCAAGATACAAAACCCAGAAAGTATAAAGGGAAAAATTGGCAGAAGCTACTAAATAAAAACTTCTAAACCAGAGGTACTGTAAATGAAGAATAAAACATAAGAAGAAGAAAATATTTTCAAAATAAGAATGTATAGGCTCAATGTCCAAAACAGGTACAGGAGCTTCTACAAATCAGCAAGTATGGATAATTCTTAGGTTTCAAAAGAGAAAATCAAACAACAAAAAAAGGCAAAGCACCCAATTAAAAGTGGGAAGAATACTTGAACTGACATTTATCCAAAAACCTACAAATAGCCAATAAATTCAGGAAGACATGATCAACAATACTAAGCACGAGGGAAATGCAAATCAAAACCACAGTGAGATACTCCTTCACATATTAGGATGTTATAAAAAAAAAAGTGTTGGTGGGATAGCTGCAAAGCTTTGTATGTTACTGGTGGGGACATAAACTCATGCAGTTGCCATGGAAAACAGTATGGCAGTTCTTTAAACAGTTAAACAGAATTACCATAATATCCAGCAACTCCACTTCTGAGTGTGTACCCAAAAGAATCGAGAGCAGCGCTCAAACAGGTATTTGTGCACCAATTTCATTGCAGCATCATTCACAATAGCCAAAAGCAGACCGTGCCAAAATGTTAGTGATCATATTGTACTGGGCAATGTATCGTAACACTAGAGAGTTTAGTGTACATGTAGGGATGACTAATCTGCAGTCATTAGTAAATACATGGTAATTTCACTTCGCTATTTAGTTCCCATTTTTTAGAAACTCAGAAATTGTATTCGCCACTCATTTGTTTTGTTAGCTGGCCTGTTCCCATGGCCAGGTCTCTTATAAACCCTCAGGGCTATGACTGTTATGATCAATTATCATTATTACAGTGGACAAGCCATTTATGATGTTTACTTTTTCTGTCAAGTTTCCTGTAAGAAAATGATACGGATATCAGAGATCTTATTCTTAACTCGGGTTTTATTATTTACTGGTTGCGTCTATGAGCAAATCACTTAACCTCTCTGCATCTCAGTTTCACTCTTTGTAAATCTGTAAGATGAGAACTTGTTGCTCTGAAGCTTCATCTAATGATGAGTTTGATTCTAATAAATGGAATTGAGTATAATTCTGGTTTAATAATGCCCTATGGAAATGCTACATAATAATTTCTAAACTCATAATCTGTTTTTCTTTAAAAAATCTAAGGAGTTAAAACTTTCAAAAACATATATATACCCCACATTTGTTTACCCAGTCATCTGCTGATGGACATTTGGGTTGTTTCTGCTGAAGGCACTCAGGCACAGGTTTTTGTAACTCATTTGGGCAAATCCCTAAGAACACAATTGCTGGACTGTATGTTCTAATGAACAAAATGAACTAACAAGCAAAACAGAGACAGACTCAGAGATAGAGAGCAGGCTGACAGCTGTTGGGGGGGAGGAGGGGGGGTGCAGGGATTGAGCAAAAACGAAAAAAGGGAGAAAACTCATGGCCATTGATAACAGTATGGTGATTGCTGGGGGAGGGGGAGTGGAGGGAGGGGGAGGAGAGTATGGGGGATAAATGGTGGAAGAGGAGACTTAGCTGGGGTGATGAACAATGCAGTGCACAGATGACGTGCTGTGGAACTGTGCGCCTCAAACCTGTATAATTTTGTTAACCAGTGTCACCCTGATACATTCAATAAAGAGGAAGAAAAAGAAGACTGTAGCTTTGTAAGGAACTGACAAACTGTCTTCAAAAGTAGTTGTGCCTTTTGCATTCCCACCAGCATGAATAAGACTTACTGGTCAGGCCGGCCTGTGGCCCATGAACCAAGAGGTCACCGGCTGGGTTCCCAGATTGTGGGTTCTATACCCGGTATGAGATGTGCAGGAGGCAGCCAATCGATGTTTCTCTCTCTTTGATGTTTCTACCTCTCTACCCACCCTTCCTCAAAAAAAAAAAAAAAAAAAAAAAAGTCAATAAAAATATATTTAAAAAAAGACAGCTCACTTCACTCTCGCCAGTGTTTGGTGCTGTCACTGTTTGGGATTCACCTATTTTAATGGGTGTGTAGTGACATCAGTGTTGTTTTAATTTCCAGTTCCTAGATGACATATGTTGAGGCATCTTTTCATATGCTTATTTGCCATCCACATATCGTCTTTGGTGAGATGTTTGTTCACCTTCTGCCTATTTTTTAATTAAGTGATCTTTTTTCTTGTTGTTGAACTTTAAGAGTTCTTTGCACAGTGTGAAGCGACACCTTTATCAGATGTATGTTGGGGAAACATTCTCTCTGCAGGTCTTTTTGCTTTCTGTAAGTGCCTTTCACCGAGGAGAAATGTACAATTCCAACCAAGTCCAGCTCACCTAATTTTTTCTTTCATGGATTGTGCATTTGGTGTTGTAGCTAAAAACTCAGCAGCAAATCAAAGTCACCTTGTGTGTTCTCTTACATTGTCTTCCAGAAGTCTGGTCGTGTTGTTCCTTACATCTAGGCCTAGGATCCACTTTTAGTTCATTTCTGTGGAGGAGCGAGGCCAGTGTGTAGACTCGTTTCGGCATGAGGCTAAGTCCCAGTTCCACTCAGTGTCTCTCCCCGCCCCGGAATGCCTGTGCTCCTTCCCCAGACATCAGTTGACTGTATTTAAGAGTCTCTTTCTGGGCTACCAATTCTGCCCACGGACCTGTGTTCCTTCCCTCATCCCACTGACTCACTGTGGCTCTGCACTGAACACTGAAGTTAGTGCCATTCCTCTCTGTTGTTCTTCTTCACTATGACATGCCATATTTGGTATCATTTGAAGTTCTATATAAACCTAGAATAAGTTTCTTAATATCTACAGAGAACTTGGTGAGCTTCCGACAATGGCTGCTCCCGAGTCTATAGATCCGTTAAAAGAACTGTCCTCTTAAGAATATCGCGTCTTTCTCTCCACATACATGCATCAGTCTTTTCTTATTCTTTCATCAGTTTTCCTCACATACATCTTGCAAATACTGTTTTTAATACTTCAAGAAGTCTTAATGGTGAAGAAACACATTTGTACTGGAAAATAATATCTGAATAGAAATAATATCACTGTCTCCAAGTCTCAGCACTATTCTCCCTTTGAAGCAAATTAACCTTATCAATTAAGAATAGCAATGTCCCCCTATCATGACAGCAGTTTGAAAGCAAGGCTCCAAAACTGTTTATACTCCTCCCTCCTATCAAGAGCTAGAGCTCTATGCTCCCTGGTCCTAAAGTCTGCCCTCTGCGACTGCTCACCCCATAGAGGACAAAGGTGAGCCGATGCGTGCTTCCAGGCCCAGGCCTTTAAAAACTAGCAGTTTCCACTTCCTATCTCTTAGAACACCGTTTCCTGGGATATGCATCCTCGCAAACCAGCCACCATATTAGGAGGATACCCACACTGGCCACAGAGAGACCTACCAGAGGAACAGGCAGCACCCCCAGGCCAGCTGGGAGGGAACTGGTAGGTCAGTGCCCGAGCTAAGCCATCCAGGGACACCACATGGGGCAGAGAAGCTCCCCTGCCAAACCCTGCCCAGGTTGCTGATTTGTGAGCAAAACAAATGGTTGCTGTTGTTTTAAGCAGGTGAGTATTGGGGTAGTTTGTGTCTAATGACAGGCAGCAAAAACATCCCTATAAATATTTGAATATGGCTTTATAAACATTAAAACTGAACCAGTAACTTCAAAGGACCAGAAATGATTGGCTGGACTTTTAGACAAAGTACAATTCTTAATCCTAAGGAATTAAGAAATCAATTAACCCTCAGCCTTTTCATTAAGCCCAATTATGTTTGCTGACAATTTATTGAAAAACTAGAAACCCGATGCATGAAGATTCCTGCAAGAGTGAGCCTCCCTTCCCCTGGCTGCCAGCAGCACCTTCGCTCTGGCCAGAGCTGCCTCTCCCCTCCAGCTCAGAGCCGCCTTTCTGTCCAGAGGCCCGAAGCAGCT